CGAAAGAATTCAGACACAAAAGGTCATATATTGTATGATTCTATGTACATTAAATACCCAGAATAGGCAAACCCACAGAGAAAAAAAGCAAATTGGTGGTTGCCAGGGACTGGAGTGGGGAGAGAATAGGGAATGACTGCTGATGGGTACAAGGTTTCTTTTGGGATGATGAAAAAGTTCTGGAACTGGAGAACAGTCATAGGTGCGCACCACGTGAATGCACTCAACTCCATTGAACTCTACGCTTCAGGAGGGAAAATTTTATGTTACGTTTTATGTTACATTTTGTATTTTACCACAATAAAAAAATCAGTAAGGACATACCAGATTTTTATGACACTTGACCTTATCAACACTAGAACATTACAACTAACACGTCTTTTCAGGACCACGTGAAACATCCACTAAAACTGATCTCTCTCTGAATGGAAAAGTTAGACTCAACAAATTGGAAAGAAGTGAAATCATACTGGGTAAGTTACCTGATTTGAAATACAACAACAACTACTACTACTACTAGGCAAAAAAGACATGTACTTGGGACATCCCAAGGCCAAATGGACGTGCATGACTTGGGACCTCCAAGTTCCCAGCTCCTCCCTTCCTTCCTGGATCCGCAGGGCCTCCCAGCCTGCCCTTGACCCTCAAACCTTCTTACAGCCTCTGTCTCCTGGCAGGAAGAGTTACCCTGAGGCCAGCCCCTCCCCAAGCCCATCTCCCTCCCAGAGCAGGGCCTGGATGGGGGTTGGTGCACTGCCCAGGCCAACACTCAGAGAGTGAAGCCTGGTCACTGCATCTGACCCACAGAAGCCGGGCCTTCTCCACAAACCTGGCACGACCAGCTGAGCAGCCCTGGAGTCGGAACAATCCCAGCCCGTCTTTAAGGCTCCCCCAGAAGCAGACAGAAACAGGCCAAGCAGAAAGAAAGTAGATGTTGTCCTTCAGGGCCAGGGAAGGGGCCCATCAAAAGTCGTAAAGGCAGGGAAACCCTTGTCACTATTGGCAAATCTAGACTCACCCCGGGTGATACTTGGTACTTCCTTTAAGTTCTTGTATGGGGCTTGGTCACCATCCGAAAATGGGCAGGCCTGGCACAGCCTTCAGGATGGCATCCCAAGCCCTGCATGTGTCCCTCAAGTCCTCCGTCTTCCAGCCCCAACCCGCCTCCCCACACTCCCGCCACACTCTTCAAACAACCCAAGTTTTGAGAGAAATTAAGCTGTTCCTGAAAAACAATTCATCTTTGTTCCAGCTTGGACACTCACGGAGCGGCTTCTCCCACCCACCTCCTCCCCTCTCTACTGGCCTCATCCTTAATGGCTCTCCCCTTCACCCCACGCCCACTGCATTGCCCAGTGCTAGTGACCGTACATCCAAAATACTATTTGGATTTTTCTCTCCCTGTCTCCGTCTCCAATTCTAACCCAAGCTGCCGTCTCTCTTGTTTGGAGGTTAAAATCGCCATCCTCTGACATCCTTCCCTCCCAGCTCACCCTGTCATGGGAAGTGAGCTTTCCTGACTCCCACCAGCCCTACTGCTCATCTCAGAGAAGTTTCTGGTTCCCTTCCCTCTCCTGCATCACCAGTTCCTCCTTGCCTGCTTGGCAGATCCAACTGGCACGCACACGTGGCCTGGTCCTATTTTAAAACAGTCCCACCGAGGCTCCTCCAGCGTAGCTCATTCCAGGGTCCTGCTCAAAGCCAAGGATCTCAAAAGAGCTGTCCACCACCTCCACTTCCTCACCTCCCACCTTCACCTCCACCTACTCCAGCCTGGCATTTGTCCTCTCCACTCCACCTAAAGTGCTTTTGTAAATTTCTCCAGTGACCTTAGCCATCCAATGACAGTGACCCACCAATGGCCATTCCAACCCCAATGGTCACTTTTATGTTGTCATCTTACTTGACCCTATGGTGACCTTTTAGACAGCTGGCCATTCCCTTCTCCTTGAAACACTTTCTTCTCTTCGCTTCTGAACGCAGTGTGCTCCTGGTAGTCCTCCTGTATCCCTGGCTTCCTCACCATCTCTGCTGGCGCTCTGCTTGGCCTCTGGGTGCCAGGAGCAGGCCGCCAGCCTGCCTGTCCCAAAGACACTCAGCCAGGCCCGTGGCTTTAATTCCATCAGGACGACAGGTACCACCTCACCTCGTCTCGTCTCTCCCTTGTGTCCCAGGTTTGTTTGTCCCACCATCTCCTTGGCATCCCCATGTTCATGTCTAATAGACATTTCAAAGCTGACATGTCATATTGGGACTCGAGTCCCACTTACCTGTCCTACACACACACACACACACACACACATTTCTCACCCATCAGATGCTGAGGCCATCCTAACTCCTCTCACCGGCCACCCCATCAGCAAGTCCCTCAGCTGGTCTCCCTCATCTGTCCACACGCACCACCCTGCGGGCCCAACACTGTCCTTTCCCACCCAGACTCAAGCAATAGCCATGATGGAAACAGTTTTGCAGTTTCCCCAAATGTTAAATGCAAAATGACCATGTGACCCAGCAATCCATTCCTAGGTCTGTACTCAAAAGAAACGAAAACAGGTGTTCAAAGAAGAACTTACACACCAGTGTTCACAGCAGCGTTATTCACAATAGCCAGAAGGTGGGAACCAGCCTCTGCCTGGAATACCTCGCCCCTGATCTTTCTGTAGCCGCCTCCTGCTGACCCTCCCGGGCTCTGTCCCACCCGCGCCTCTTCCTTCCCTGACCCCCGCCTGCCGCCACCACTCACCTGTTCACTGCCTTCACAGACCTCTCGCTATTTGATCGCTTGTCTGCCTGTTACTGTCCACCTCCTCTAACCAGAAAGCAGACACCGTGAGGCAAGGGTTCCCTTTCCTTCTTGCCCATGGAACACAGAAGGCGCCCAGCCCCTAGAGTCCAAACGCCACTCCACAGCCTTCCTGATTCCTCCACCAGGCTGGGGCAATCTGACGGGCACGACCTGCCTTCCCCCTGCCAGCCCCTTCACTGTCTTCCTCCTGACCACAGCTGTTTCTGGGGGGCCTAGCAGGCCTCACACTCCTGAGGCCCCTACATTCCCGCAGGCACTGTCTCTGAAGAGCAGCAGAGAGAAGGGAGGAAGAAGAGAGGGGAAAAAGCACAAAGCAGGGGACATGGGAGCTCACAGCAACTGCCACAACCAGGCCCTGGGCCAAACAAGCGGTGTCACTAAGCCTCACAGAAGCTTGACACCGAGGACCCCGATATGGTGAGGTCAGTAACTGGCCCCGAGCCCCACAGCTGTCGGGTCATTCGTGATAATGCCTCAAGAGAGAAAGAGGGTCAATTCAGAAAAAAACAGAGAGAGCAAGAAGGGATCTTCAGTGTCCGTTGGCTGCAAGTATGAACAATCCTGCCCTGCCCACTTCTGATCTAAGAAGATGCCCGTGTTCTCTTCAGTTGTGGGCATTAATGTGGGGATGTGAGCAGCTGGGGCCCCCCAAGCTTGGGGGTATTGTCCACCTGGAGTTCACCGAACAGTGGCCACTGCAGGACTTCACCTTGGGGAGGGGCCAGCAGTGACCGGGTCCTGAGATTGCCCTCCAGCGCAGGCATGGGTGAAGGTGGGGAGATGGGTCTGCATTTAGTGCTCCTTTTAAGGTGCGCTGGCGACACCCGCTCTCTGTAAACAGAGTGGGCGCTCTCGGGGAACATTACCCGTCCGTGCACGTTAGCTCTGGTGGCGTTCCCCTGAAATGCACGTGTTTTCTCTCCCATTCCCCACTCAGGCTGCCGGGCCAGGCACATAGAACCAGAGTCATCACGTGACTACTCTTTGTGCCGAGGTCACCAAGGCTCTCCGCCTCCCAGGCCAGGTGCCCAGTGTGCCCACGGCCACTCAGGCTGCCGTCAGGCTGTGGCCTTCACATTCTTGACCCTCCAGGAATCTTCAGGCTAGGCTCCCAGGCTCTCCTTCACTCAGACAGTAATATTATCAATGAGCACTGTTGTGATTCTTACATGATATTATTCATAATAAAATCCTTATGAGGTGCCAGACTCTGACACCTGGTGGTGTATCTATTAAGTCCCAGGGTTTTCCCCAGGACACTGGGGAGGGAAAAATCATTCCCAGCTCACAGACACAGAGCCAGCAACCCAGAGAAGGCAAGTGTCTTGCCCTGAGTCACAGAGCTACCACAGGGAGGCAAGGGTAGGACCTGAAGTCGGGCCTGGCCCAGCTCTCTCTTCCATCCGGTGTGCCCCAGACGTCCCCGGTCAACTCCAGGGCCAGACATGCTGGTGTGCTGTCCCCATTAGTCACTGAAATATCCCCAACCCAAGGGCTCTGACCACCCCTGGCTGAGCAGTGATGGGGTAGGGATTGGTGGAGCCAGACGGGGTGACGGGGGACACAGAAGGGGAACATGGAGATGGGGGGCTAGGCTCACAGGGCATGCACACTACCGGCTACACTTACCACCTGAGGGAGGGCGGAGAGCCCAAAGAGGGGATCCCGGAGCAGATAGAGGAAACAAGAAGGAGTCAGTGAGCTGCAGGCAGCACCAAGATGGCCCATGTTCCTGAAGGGGTGCAGCCTCACAGCGTGGGGAACCCACCTGGCCTTTCACTGTGCGCCAGTGGGGGGTGGGGGCTATGGGAACAACAGGTAGGGGCTGCCTGGGGTGTGGCACTTCAATGGGCTGCACTCAGGCCTGGGGGACGAGGCGTGGGAAGAGCACAAGACCTTTTAGTCATGTGTGGCATGGACACGCTAGGGGCCCACACTGTATTCAGCACTTCCTAAGTCCCCACTCAGCTGTTCTTACTGCCTGGCTTGAGGGTGGGGACCCAGGCAGCTCTCAGAGGGATACACTAGGACAGACCAAGTCCAGAAGCCAAGCTGCCCAGCTCCCAGGTCTGCTTAGAGAAACATTGCTGTCAAGCAGGAGGTCTCGGGAAGAGGGCTAGAGGAAGGGACAGCGCTTGGACAACTCAGGATGAGTCGGTGAGAGGACCCGTCCCCTCCTGGACTCCCCCAACTCACATGTCCGTGCAGGTCTGTGTTGAGCAGCATCAGGGCACAGGTGAGCGTGTGGATCCCATCTAAATCAGAGATGGCGGCACCATAGGTGAGGACCAGCTCTTTCCCAGCCCCAGCCACCCACCTGTCTCCTAACAGAGCCAATCTGGAGGCCTGGAGATAGCAAGAGGCCAGCCACCTCCCAAACACACCTCAGGACCCAGGGCCTGCATGAAGCCCCCTGCCTGCCCACTGTAGCCCTGGAGCCCCTTTCCTGCCCCTTGTCAGGGCCAGCCCGTCCCTCAGAGGGGACCCGAACACCCTGGGCCTGTTCTCGCCCAGACTCACACCTCCTGTGACCGAACTCACCTGGAACCTCAGGCCCAGGAATGGCTCTGGGTCCCAGGCTATGTCCCTGCCATGTCTGTGTCTCCACCGATAACCAGCCTAGTCCCAGTTCCTGGGACTCCGGGCCATCCGTAGGGCAAATCCTGACCCTACCAGGGCTAACCCAGACCTTCATACCAGGCCTCCCGCCACCCCAAGAACGAGCACTGAGGCAGGGAGAATGAAGACCCAAAGGCCTGATGTGGGACAGGAGACCTTCAGACACCGAGAACGACCGTGGGCCAGGCATCTGGGAGGCCCCCTGCCCAGCGGGCACAGCCCATTCATGCATCTGTTCTTTCACTCAATGTTCATTGAGCAGGACAGAGCGGCGGGCAGACCAGGGGTCGCAGGCAGCCAGGGCCCGGCTGAGAGGGGCTCGGTGGGCCAGGCGGAGGAGGGCAGACAGCCATACCTTCCGAAGTGCTGTCGTCAGGGTTGCACTGGCAGTACCGGTGGGAGAAGTGGGTAAGGACCCGCTCCCGCTCCTGCGTCTCCCCCATCAGCGGAAAGGCCTTGAGGAAGGTTCTGGAGAGCAATTCAAGGATGCTGAGTGCCTCCTAGAGTCCATGAGTCAGTCTGGATCCTCATACAGGGTAGGAGCCCACCCCATGTATATTACCCACACCTGCCAGAGGGGGCTCAGGCTCCAGCACCCCAGATCTGGGCCAAGGGAGACCCCCTGGCCTCCAGGGCAGCTTCCGGAGTGCAGAAACCAGGGGGTCTGGCAGGCTTTGGAGTTTCAGCCCTCACTGCCCTCCAGGGCCCTTCTGGGAGTAGGCAGGGGACAGGTTGTGAAGAACAAAGACAGATGAGCACCTCAAGGCCACCATCAGTTCATCTTTGGGGCAAATGGTGACTGCACACTCCCCTCTCCACAGCTGGGCCCAGCAGGTCCACAGCTGCCCTGAAGCTGCTTTTCCTCAGCCATCCCTGCTCCTCTCTTGATGCACCACCCACTGAGCCCAGGCCTAACCCCAGCCTCCCTCGTACTCCCCCGGCCCCGTGTCTGAGCTGTCACCGAGTCCCCACGACGTGCTCTTCACCTCTGAGCTCCATCCCTCCTCCTCATCTGCCCTCAACAGGTGCACGCCCAGGACACCCGAAACAGCCTCCAGACAAGCGCATCCCAGCAGCTCCCCAGCACATCCTCCCTGCACACACTGGGTGGTCCTTCCAGACACACATGCAGTCAAGACTCCTCCCGATTCAAACCCGTCACTGGCTCCCCAGAGTCCTCAGAGTAATGTCCCCGCTCCTCATGTCCTGGTCCTCCCGACGACCCCACTGCCCTCCTGCCCTGCTAACCTCACACCCCACACCACTGCACACCCTAGCAAGGCAGCATTTTCCCTGCTGCTGCCTCTGAGCAGGCTGGGCGCTGCCTGAAAGGCCTGCCCCCCCTTGGCTGGGCAGCTCTGGATCCGTCTCAAGGCCCAATTCAAAGGTCCACGGCTCTCAGGGCCCTGCAGCTGATCCCCAAACCAGGAGAGCTGGGAGATGGGGCCTAGCACACCCCTTCACTGCAAGCTGACACCGTTTGGGCCGCTAGGTTCATGAGACGAGCTTGTTCCTGATTTTGCTGTGGATCTTAAGCTTCTGTGATGCCCACTTTGCTTTATCCTCCCTCATGCTGCTCCTAAGGCACCCTGGGACCCATGAGCCCCATCGTGGCCAGCCCTCAGCCCCCGAGGCTGGCCAAGGCACCCAAAACTGCAGACCACCCTCCAGTTTAGCCCCAGTCAATGAGCGGCTGCACAGAACACTGCCTGCCTCTAGTTGTCCTCCTCCCCCTGCTCCCAGCTCCCGTTCTCTTCCCCACCTCACTCCCCATCTGGCCCCTTCTGCTCCTCCCCACACTCCACTGGGACTTGCTGAATCCCACTGTCCATCCTAGCCTTGGCCTGTCCCACCTATGAGCCATCCATCCAGCTCCTACTCCCTCACCCAAACACGCCCTCCCCAGGGGTCCACCCCAAACCCCAACCCGCACACTGCCACCAAGCTCTCAGGCTGCCCCCAGGTCGGCCTCACCACTGTCCACGCTCTCCCCTGCATCTTGGCACCACCAGCCTGTCTGCTCCATCTTCTGGGCAATCTCTCGCACACCAACCTTTCCTCCAGCCCCACTGCCCAACCTCAGACCTCACCTCTCCCACCAGGCCCTCTTCAGAAGCCTGCACACCTCTGGATCAAAGGCCCCCAACAGCTGCTGCCAGCACTGCCTCCCAAAACACTGCTTTACACACAGCACCTTCTGTGGCTCCCTAGGACCTGTGCAGTCAAGCCTCAACCTATTGGTCTGGCTTACAAGGTCCTCCAGACCAGCACCCATGCCTCTGACCATGAGCTGACCCACCAAACACCTTCCCAACCAATCTTCCTTATTCTAAGGCAAACTTCAGACTCAGCTCCAGACAGAGCAGCTTGCAGGGGACCAACGCTGGCCCCGAGAACAGCCAGACAGAAGGCAGCTCTCTGCACCTATCAGAGACCCACTGGCACAAAATAGCCAAAAGGGCTGAGATTCTGGAGAAAAGACAGCTGAGGCGAGGTGGGCTGGCCTGTAGCCGCCCTTCCCTGGGGACGCTGATGCTTATGGGCACAGGAGAGGTACAACATTGGTGGCTTCACGGAGCGGAAGGGACAGACCAGGGGTCTTGAGGGGCTGTAAGCACCCGGGCAGTTTTCCCCCTGAGACATATGGCACATTCTGGAGAGGCGAGGGGCAGGACACTACAAAGCTAAGCAGAAAGCCTCTCAGAACTAGAAGGCTTTGGAGGCTTTTTGACAGTCTCACAGCATTGAGACAAAATTAGAATTCAGGTGCCGCCAAAGGGGAGGCTCCCAGTGGAAACCTGGGCATGAGCCTGAGCCTTACCAAACGTGGGTGCAGCCTGTCCTCAGCACAGCCCTGGCTGGGTCAGGTGCCCCCTTACCCTCCTCTAACGGTCTAGCAAAGGGCAAGGTAAACCCCCCTGGAGAAACATATAATCACCTAGAGCCTCTATAATCCTATGCAAAATGTAAGGCATCTAATAAAAAGGTTACTAAGTGTGCAGAGAGACAGGACATATGATAAAAAAACTTATTTTTTCAAGAGGCAATAGAAACATACAGACAACTCAGATGATATAGATACTGAGGTGAGCAGAGAAGGACTGTGAAATAACTATGACTAATATGCTCAAGAAAAGAGAGGGAAGGATGGAGAAAATAAGTGAAGAGATGAGGAATTTCCCCAGAGAATTAAAATCTACTTAAAAATATTTTTAATAAAATGAAGACTCTAAAACTGAAAAACACAACAATAGTAAGTAAAAACTCAATGAATGGGTTTAAGGGCATTAGACACAGAAAAACACTAAGTGAACTGGAAGCGAATCAATGGGAAGATATCCCAGCAGAAGCAGAGAAAAAAGAATGGGAATACATTTTTAAAGGTATAGGTGACACGTGGGACATGACAAGAAGATCTAACGTACACGGACCACCCATGCCTTAGCTCAGAGACCGCAGGCCCTCCCCAGGGGCTTGCCTGGTGTCCCCCTGCTGGCCCCCCATCACCAGGGCCTGTGGATCCCGAGCTGCATTCCGTTCCAGCCCCCTGCTTCCTGAGGTCTCCTGAGGGCTGCCTCCCGTAGCCAAACCCAGTAGGACCTGAGCCCCAACCCCTCTGGGGAAGTCATTTTACCCAGCTGGCGCACGTCTTCACTGGTAAATGGAATGCTAAGGCGCACCTTTCAGGGCGTTGCTAGGGGAAGCTCAGCAGGGTGCGTTAGGACCTCTAGCACCCCGCAGCCTGGAAGTGCTCCGAACAGGCCAGCCCTCTGCCCCTTCTCCTCTCAAGGGTCAGTTTAGCACAGATCACATTCCCACCTTCACACCCTCAGCGCCCACCACACAGCTGTAACTAGCTGAGTCACTGGACTGCTGCTACTCTGTGTCCCTTCCCCACAGCCTCCCCAGAGGGGTCAAGAGATTCGTCGAGGTTGCACAGCAAATTTATGATGGAGCTGGTACAAGAACCCATGTCTGACCTGTACCCCCTGTGGGCCCTGCCCTGGCCCGGCCCCACTGACCTGAGCGCTCGGTCCAGGGTCAGGCCCGAGAAGTCGAAGAAGCTGAGGTACTCCCCGGCCACCAGCCTGCAGAACTCATTGCTGCCAGGAGGGCATGGGCATCCATTAGAAGCAGGGCACAGCAAACAAAGGGGGTACGTGGGCAGTGGGCCCTGGCCACCCCGATCCCCCAACCTCCAACCTGCCAGCCCCCAGCTGCCTCTCCCTGCTGGCCAATCTGGCTCTGACAGCTCAACTTTGGGTGGAGGGCTCAGGAAAGCTGCCCAGAGGAGGCGAAGCCTCAGCCAGCACCTACCAGGGAGTAAGAGCCAGCCAGGTGAAAGAACGATGGAGCGAGAGGATGCACTGTCCCCAAGTGAGCCCACTGCGGGCAACAGAGGACACTGCCATGTGTCCAGGATCTACCGGTGGGGCCGTGTGGCCAGAGCCAGAGAGCAGGAATGGACGCAGCCACAGGCGAGGCAGGGAACAGGGCCTGAGAGCCAAGGGAAGGACCAGGGCTTGACTGGAGGGCGAAGTAAGAAGGCCAGGTCTGCATCTGGGACACTCTTTCTGCTGAGCGGAGACGCACTGGGGGGCTGCTGGAGCATACGGGAGAGGAAGGGGGGGAATTCTGGAGGCAGAGTCCCCAGCACATGGAGATGGAATGCGTATGGGGCATGACTGGAGAAGGTGGCCCCAGGGGACGGGTCCAGAGCTCAGAACAACGGGATGCACCCAGTTGGAAGTCCTGAGCCCAGAGCTAGTGGGAAGGGGGAAGAGCCCTCTCCAGAGGAGATGCACAGACCGGCCAGCAGACCCAGAGTAGAGGTGTAAGAAAGCCCTTCCAATGGGTGGACTATGGAGGGAGAGCCAGTGAAAGAGACTGAGAAACGGCAGCCAGAGAGGTAGGGGTGTGGCGGCCCGGAAGTCCAGGAAGGCAGTGTTTCCGGAAAACTGGGGTGATGAATTCTAGCGTAAAAAGATAAATTTCCATCTGAATCTAATCAAGCCCCAAGCTCTCTCTCCATTTACAGGAGACCTTGGCAATAAAGGAGCATGTGTATGACACCATGAAGCTACCCAAAAAATTCCTTTGGACAAATGGCCCCATTTCTTCAATGACTACATGGCATTGGAGAAAGGAGTGGGCTGTCAGACTGCTGCTGAAGGGATATATTGGCTAAATGTGATGCGTGGACCTGTTTGCATCCTCATTTGAACAAGCATTCTCAAAATTTCAGACAGAAAATTAAGCAGAGGCTGAATGTAAGAGATACTAAAGAATTTTTGTTAATCTTTGTTCAAAATATTAGTAGAATCATGATTACATTTTTTAAATCCTTATCAATTAGAGACAAATACTAAAATATTTTTGGATCAAATGATAGAGTACCTAAAATACGCCTTTAGATCTTCCAGTAAATGGGGTTAGGGAACCTGTGGGGGCAAATAGCTCAAACAAGAAGAGAAAAACATTGGTGACTTTAAAGTTGAGCAATGGATCCACAGAGATTTAATGTATTATTTTCTCAGCTTCTATGTATGTTTGGAATTTTCATAATAAAAAGCATAATTAAAGAAACAGAAAGTAGTAGCCAGTTGTTAAAACTGTGGAAGGGGAATAAGATGAGGCCTGGTAGCAGCTGCCATTCAAAAACACAAGGCTGATAATGACGCACACCTGAGAGGTTTCCGCCTGGGAGGGGGTGGGGAGGAAGCAGCCAGAGGGGCAAAATGTGCAGCAGGGGACAGACCAGGGCCCCAGGGCAGATCACCTGAGTGCGGGCTGTGAGGAGGGGCTGTGGCAAGTGCAGCTGAGGAAGGATTTGTTTTCAGGTGTGCCAGACAGCAGTCACAAGCTGGTGGAGACTCACATAGAGGGAGTGGTTGAAAAGACTGGAGGATGGGGTGTCACTGGGTGATGGGGGCAGGTGGCCCAGCCCAGCGGGGAGTGGGGACTTGGGAGTTGTGGTTTCAGCGCTGGGGCCAGGGAGCCCAGGGACAGGAGCCACCCACAGGCCGCAGAGGGTGGAAGAGGCAGAGGGGAGGGAGAAGAGAGGGGTCCCCAAACGGAGCCACCCTAGGTGTCTCCCTGCAGCGTAAAACCCCAGTCACTAAGACTTGGGGTCCCCCCTGCCCTCTGAGCAAGGCCTGTTTCTGCACATCTCAGAGCTTAACGTGGGTGTTGGGAGGGACTGGAGGCAGGGCAGAGGCTCTCAGACATGCTTAGGGGGTGCCGACCAGCTTCCTCACAGTCCCCACCCACCTGCCCCCCAGCCCCTTTGGGAGCCCCAATCCAAAGCCCAGGACTATGTTTTGGCAGCTTCAGCCCTTTAGCCGGCCCAACAGATAGTGCATGGGACTTACTAAGGGCCAGGAACCCCTTCCCCTGCTCCTAGGTCCCAGCCTTCCCAGCCCAGACCCAGATTCTCTGCTCTCTGGCCCCATCAGATGGGCCACTAGCCCCCACCTGGCAGCTCTGTCCTCACTGCTGTCCATCGTGACCCCATAACCACATGCCACCCCCCACCCCCCAGCCCTGAGGGGCTGCCTCCGCCCACCCCCACCCCTCCCTGAGAGCCAGGGCCCTCGCCCAGACAGCCCGGAAAGGAAACAGATTCAGGACAAGCAGGGAATGAGGACGGTGGCAGGAGGAGTTCTTAGGAACCGTTAGGAGCCCCTCAGGCACAGGCGCCCTGCCAGAAGTCACCCATGCCCCCTTCAGCCTGAGGAAGACACCAGGTTGACCTGGGGTGGGCACATGGGAGACAGAACTCACTTCTTGCCCAACTGCCTGGCGACGTCACAGCGCTGGAAGCCCTCAAGGTGATAGAGGCGGCGTGCCAGCCGGCGAGCAGCTTCACTGACCCCCTGGCACCCATTGGCCAGCAGGTCTGTGCTGCCAGGCTCCAGCCCCTCCGAGCTGCTCAGCTCTGAGTCTGAATCCGACAGGCCATCCTTCAGGCTAGGGTCACTGCAGAGGGTAGGTGGGGTGGAGAGGAGGGGATCAGAGGCCCAGGGCAGAGGCGGGAAGGGGCCGGAAGGTCTCCCCAGGTCTCTGAAGACCCACACAGAGGCCAGAGCCAAGAACGAAGCTCCACTGTCCGGAGGGAATCAAGTCAGACTTTCAGAAGAATCCCTCAGATGAGATCACTGGATGACACCCAAGCCCACAGCATGCTGGGACAGCCTGGAAGGGTAGCATGGAACCTCAGGGCGGGAAATCTGGGTGCAGAGGGAAGACGTGATGACCCTGGAGAGGGCTTGTTCACTCTGGACACTGGGCTGCCCTTACTCGCTTTGCCTCCTCTGGGTCTCAGTTTCCCCATCTGCTCTGCGGTTCTCCCAGCTTCCAGCCTGGGCTCTGCCTCACCTGGCTGAGTTCAGCAACTTGTCCGTGTCCTCCTCCTCCTCCTCCTCCTCCTCCTCCTCCTCCTCCCCGCCTGGACCTCCAGGGCCATCTTCGTGGAAGCCATTGGGCACGGCCGTGAGAGACAGGCGGCTCAGGACGTTCTCAGAGCGGCTGCTGGAGATGGAGCGCCGCAGGGGGCTGCCCAGCTCCCCATCGCCACCGGCCGCTCCCAGGCTCCCGTCAGGCCCCCCGTCCCCGATGCCCAAGGCAGCTCCTGGCTCAGGGCTATCACGGGCCCGCTGCTGGATGAGGGGTGTCAGGGGGGCCTCGAAGCTGACGCAGCTGTCACTCTCATCCGTGAGGCTCAGCACATCTAGGGAGTCGAGGCTGCTGTACTGGGTGCCTCGCAGCAGCTCCGACTCCACAATCTTCTCGAACGTGGCACTGAAACCATCAGGCACGTCCGGCTCTCCTGGGCTGCCCAGACTGTGGGATACAAGGACCAGTCACCACCTTGCCAGGGTGTCCCTCATTACAGATGCGGGGACTGCCCCAGTCTCTGTGTGGGAGCTCCCTGGGGGTGGGGAGCGGGCATGGACTGTTTCTTGTTTACCCTTTCAGCCAATGCTCACTGAGAGCTAGGTGCCAGTGAGCGCTGGGCTGGGCACTGGGATATAGCTGTGAGAAAGACAAGCACTGCCCACCCCCCCATGCCTACCTCATAAGTGGCATCATTCATCTAAATGAATGAATGAGGGCCTCTCCTCTAGGCTGGCCCTGGGGCTGCTCCCTGTAGGCTCCCAGAGCAGGGTGGGCATCCCCCTATTACAACTAGTGTCACACTGGGTCATAATTTTGCTGTCTCCACAGCCTGGGAGTTTCCTCACATACCCGACCACACTCGATCTCTCAGGCTTTGCCTCAGAGAGACCGAGGGAGGCAGGACCACACAGCATGCCATCCAGCCCCCTCATTATTCTCCTTCCTCAGGGTAGAGCCTCATTTCTCTCAGTCCCTGTCAGCACACAGTGTTCTCATCTGTTTTTATCACACGGTATTTATCATCTGTTCCCTCCACACGAGGTCAGGAAGCCCCCAACACACAGTAGGTACTCAGTAGACCCTGCTGAATGGTACACTGGGTGAAAGCACAGGCATGTGTCTGCCCCATGGCCCAGCACACGCCTAAGCCTTGCAGGCCCCTGTGCTGTCCCTGGAAGAGGCCTTCACTCTGCTGTTCCCTCTGCCCAGAGGGTGCTTCCCTCATCCTGAAACCCCCCTTTCTTATCCCTTTCTTGATGAGATCTGCCCTGACCACCCCATTTGTTACTGGGCCCTTCTCCCAAACATACCTTTCCCTACTTTATTTTTTCCAAAGCACTTATGCTCCTCCCAACACACTATATGATTATTTTTTATTTTTATGATTTATTATCTATCTCCTCACTAGACACAAGGTCCAGGAAAGTCGGAATATTTGTATGTTCTGTTCACTGGTGTATCCGCACCACCTCAAACAGAGCATCACACAGAGACAAATCGAGGCTTCTCAGAAGGATCCTTACCCACTGGGGAGATGCGAGGAAGCGGGGAAGGAAGAGGAGAGAGACTGAATGAAAGAGACAGAGAAAAGAGATAAGACGAGCATGAGAAACAGAGACAACAGGTAACAGAGGTTAGGAGAGACAAAGAGAGAGATGGAAACAGAGACGGTGAGAAGAAGAGATGCAGACAAAGGAAGAAGCCAGCTGAGCCGGGCCCGTTCCAGAAAATCCAGACCCGGCATTTGGAAAGCACAGCGGCCTCTCCGCTGAGGACCTGGCCCCACCCTGCTCTCCCCCAGCCTGTATCTGGCAGGCTGGGAACAGCCTTCCCCTCCAACAGCTCCCTGGACCCTCCCACCCCACCACACCAAGTGTCTAAGATTTGGTCCCAGTGTGTTTCCGGGGGCAACATACTGACCCGAAAGGGGGAACGCTGGAGCCGCAGCCATCCCCCCGCCACAGGCCCAGGAGGAGTGAGGCTGCGGCCTCAGCAGGCCTTCTCTGCGAGAAGCCAGGGAAGGAAGTGGAGAGGAGGGCACATCAAAAATGTGATGGGATGCCTGGTGGGGGCTGGGGTGGGGTTGCCTCTACTGACTTCCAGGAGGAGAGAGCGAAGAGAAGGGCCACTGCCCTGGCCACCAGAGCAGACACCCGAAATCTACCCAGCAAAGGCCTCTCTACCCAGCCTGTGCTGGGTCCTGGAGACACCCAAACAAAAATACAGAGCCCTGACCTTGGGGGGCTCTCAACTCACCATCAGAGCCAGGAATGGTCTCTCCCAGGCCCCATCTCCCACCCTGTCATATACCTGAGCAGGCCTGACAGGTGGTTCTGAAAGGGGCTTAAAGACCATCAGCCCGTTTTTCAAACCTCATCTACCCCTACCTTCAACAACCCCAAATAAACACGCAGCATAAATATAGTGTGCTCCAAGAAGCCCCAGCTTCCTGCCCACACCCCACTGCCAGCCAGGTGGCTGCACACAACCCCGCCTACTGACATGCCTACCCATGGGACACAGACATACCCCCATGTGCAGACCCAAATGTGCCCCCACAAATGCATGGACCTTGCACACACAAACACCCACCGCCCACAGCACAGCTCCATGCACACCAACCTGCCCACACATCCCTGTGCACCCACATGAATGCACAGGCCAGGCACACATGAATGCCACCCTCACACACATACATCCTCCACACTTGCCTGTTCAGTCCAGGGCTGGCAGCTGGGCACATAAAGACTTCTATAATCTTTCTTTTCTCAGCCCACCCTGAGGTCTTTTAGACATCTCCCTGACCCATTCCCACCCTCCTAGATCAACTGGCACCTCCAGGACACCAGGTCTCTCCACCTCCTACTGGAGATAAGAGAAATGGGGCTGTAACTCCAGTAAGTGGGATTGAAGTGACATTCCTGATAAACTTTTGGATGGCTCTCAGATGAGGGGTGCTGGCAGGGATTAACCCACAGAGCCTGTTCTCCTGAGGTCAGCTGCAGAACTGGGAAGTAGATGGGGGAGCCAGATGACCTTCCACATCAAGGCATTCTGGAACACTAAGGCCCAGCCTAGGATGGAGTACTGCCACCGACTCCACAGAAAAACAGCCCATGATAGTTTGAGGGCTGAGGCTATGCAGCACAACAGGCCCCACAGCTTTGAAATCTCATAGCTTTATCCTCCCAGAACATGAAGAAGCTGGACATAAGAGGACGTGAAGTTTCCATTGCATGGACGAGAGAAACAAGAACCAGAGAGACAGAGTGCCTAGGCCAGGCCACGGAGCATTGTGGGCAGCCGGATGTGGTGAGCCACCATCCCAGGCACCCACTTACCCCAGCTGAGAGTCCTCAGTGTCTGGACAGAGACTCTTGGAGACACTGTCCCCCTCTGCCAGCCCAACAGCCCTCCAGGGCCTGGACTCTGTAGAATCTTCCAGAATGTTCGAGTCTGGCCCCAGGACCAGGCCATTGGTGAGGGAGAGGCCAAGGCTGAGGCCATGGAGGACCACGTCCGGGCCCTTCATGGGCTCCTCGGCGTCCACCAGGGTGTCCCTTATCTCATGCCCTGGGCTATTGCGGCTGCTACTCAGGTTTTCACTGGCATCCATTCCATTCTGGATCTCGGGCCCCTCCTCAGGCTCCGGGCTGGGGTCCCAGGCAGCACCGCCTTCCCTAGGCAGTAGAGATGGAAGCTGGTCCTCATCCATGGCAGTCGCTGCTTCCTCGTGCTGGCTGCTCCTGGGGCTCTGCTAGACCTGGCAGCAGATGGAGAAATGAAGGGGTGGGTCGGACAGGCCAGGTGCTGGCACCAGTTCAGGCAGCCTGCCTGGGGACAGGGGGACAGCCGAGATGACCTCAGGACCTCCTGGCTGGTGTCTGCGTTCAGGCTGAGGCCTCCGCACTGCCCCTCACCTCTCCCTGACCCCAGGCCATCCAGGTACACCCACCTCACCTTCCCTGTTACCTCTTACATGTTTCCGTTGTGCCCTGCAGAATTCACCAAAGCCCTCTGAGGAAGGCCCAGGTCGGGAGGGTCCAGGGATGGGCCCAGGATCCCCGCAAACCTGCTCCCTGGGTGAGCGATGGGGAAAAGCCCAGGCTGGCAGCGGTAGCCCCCCTTGCCTCTTTCCGTGTGTCCTCACCTGGCTCCGGGAGTCAGACAAGAGTGACTCTGTGCTGAATGGAGGGAACTGGGTGGGGGGCTGCCATTAGAGGGTGAGGTGAGAGAGGAGGGAAAGAAGTCAGAGCAGAGGCCACCCCAGAGAAGCCAAATGGAGGCCTGAGGCCGCCATCCCGGGGCCCAGCGTGAGGCGCTGTCCAGGGTGCTGGGTAGGTGCAGTGCCAGCCGCATGCCTCACAGCAAGGCGGCCTCTGCCTCCCAGCGCCCCAAGCTCTGGCTGTCAGAGGAGGAAGGAGGAAGGCCCCAGAGCTCGCCTGCTCTGCACAGGAGGGGCTGTGAGGAGGCTGCTGTGGGGCATTCTGGGGCGGACACTGGAAGGGGGTGGGACCCTGCTCTGCCCAGCTCACTGGATGACCCCAGGGGCTGTGTGGGTCCAGGTCAGGCCTCCTCACTGCCCCATCCAGGCCAACCCTGCTCCCCTCTGCCCTTCTCTGGGCTTGCTTCCCCTCTGTACAATGAACAGACCCATTGTACCTGCCGTCTCCGCCCGGCCTCCCTTCATAATGGACTAGAACCAGCTCACATTCCCCAAAGGCTTCCTGCCCCATCTAATCCCAGGTAGGGGGACAGAGGTAATGGGCTGTGTTCTGGCTCTCCCCTCGTACCTCTCTGCCCAGGCCCCACCCCACATGGGCATCACACCCCATGACCCGTGTGACCTCTGCCACCAGGGACACAGACTAGCCCCTCCAGACAACTTCCTTGCTCCCCTCTTTGGGCCTCAGATTCCCCCCCAGCATCCCCTGTCTCCTCTGGAGAGAGGGTGCTTGGGGGTTTGGGAGGGGATGGAGGAGAAGAACCGGTCAGCCTTCTGAGCTGCAGTGGAACGAGGTGCAGGTACAGCAACAGGGCTTTAAGTGAGGCCCATGTTGTTTATATTTGCCTGGTCCTAAGTGTTACCTGAGGGACTTGTTAAAATGCAGATATACGGCCCTCCCCTAGACCTGCTGAACTCCTGGGATCTACAGAGAATGGATATACTAACCTGTTATTCTTATACTAAGGCAAGTTTGGGGAACACTGAGTTAGACTCCAGGAAGAACTTCCACTCAGAGATGAGCTCGAAAGCAAGGTAAGTCTATTTCTCTGGCAGCTTCTGAGCCCTCGAGGGGAGCTCTGCCACCCCAGGACCAGTTAAGATTCATTTAACCCTCAGTTTTCAAACATGGAATGGAAGAGAAGAGGGCAGGACAGACATTTGGGGCCCCAGCCCACCCACCCTGAGCCTCAGATCCTAGAGTTTTGAAGACTGAATGAGAATCAGGGTTTACTTTAAAAACAAAACAGAGCAAAACAAAAATCTTCCACAAAATAAAAAAAAATGAAAAACCTGAGCCAGACTCTAGAATATCTGGGCCCCGATCCTGGGACACCAGGGACCCCAAGGGGCTCGGCCCTGGCGAGGGATTCTTTCTGGTCTGCCCTAAATCCCTGCTGCTGCAGTTGCTATTTCAATCTGTTCCCTCTGGTTGTGCCCAGAGGAGGCAGAACAGGAGGTCACCTCCTCAGCAGAGACTCCTTAGGGACGGGGGCGGCATTCAGAAAGGAGCAAGGGGGAGGAGGGGCCTTTCAGCACGCTGCCTGGATTCTAGTCGGCTGGCCTGCTTTCTAGCCCCGGGGTCTGGGTGAGCATCGGATGTGGGGCTTCACCCAGCTCCACCAGGGTGCCTCGGACTCCCACACCCACAAATGCCCAGCAGGGTGGGTGCCTCCCTTTGGGTCAGGGCTCTGCCCGAACTCCCAGTGAACCCTGAGATTTGACGGCATAAGTGGCTTCACCTGATGCTCAGTCTACACCAGCCCCAAAACCAGGATTACGGACAAATCAAGGACCTCCTGGGAGGCCCCTATATACCCCCCACAACTTCCAGAGACTGCCTGAGGCTGGCTTTAGCCTACCTGCCCCACCAAGTCCTCCTGCAGTGGGAGCAGGATGGAGGTTCTGCCAACACTGGGCACTGGGCCCTGTCCTTGGCTTCAAGGGGTGGGCAGACAAGGGGCAGCATTGAGCTCCACTCAGGGCGGGGGGGCCAAAGTCCCTGCCTAGGCTGAAGGCCAGCTGAGCCCAGAAACAGCTGAGCCAGGACCCTCCTCTCTTGCTGAGCCACAGAGAGGGGTCTACAAAGGGAGGCTCCGGGGCCAAGGTGGGAACAATGCCCCAAGCCCTCACTCTGAACCGCCATGTGCCCTGGGACTTATCACTGTCCTCTCTAGCCTTCATGGACCCATCTACAGAATGGGGGCTGGGGGCAGATCTTAAGGTCATGAATGCTGAGAAAGCTGAGACCCAAGGAAAAGCAAATGCACAGAGGTCACAGAGAAAGGTAGTTACGTTCCACTCCTTCCACTACTGCAAATGGGGATACTGAGGCACAGGAGCAAGAAAGGCTTTGCCTGAGTTCACACAGAGGGTAACTAGCTGCCTCTATAACTCAGGAGTAGCCTCCCTCAGCACCTCAGTGGGCTGGAGGTGCAGGAGGAGCCCCCAGTATCCCAAGCCCTCTGTCAGTCTCTTCTATGAGATCAAGGGCTCAACCAACCAGGAGTCTACCCAAAGCAGTGACCCTGTGCACCTCCAGCCCCACTGGCAAGTGTGGGAGGGGGCGTGGCTGGGCCACTGGGCACCCAACCCACGGAGATGCCTGCAAAGGCAGGCTGGCAGGAGCTAGGTCTCATACAGCCTCTCTCAGCCTAATCCAGGCACCATTCCAGGCGGGGGCTTCTGCTGCCCACTACCCTTGGAATGACCTTGGGCTCAGCAGCATCTTTTTCAGCACCATATAAGATGATATCCATGATGGTAGTGGAACCCTGGCTGTGCAAGGGCTGAATGCCAGGCCAGCCACTTTCTAGGTCTCAGCTGCTCCTGAGACAACCCTATCTCCCTCCCCACTCTCCCCAAGGCAGCTGGAATGAGCTGTGAAAACACAAATTACACCATTATATCACATCTCTCCCTCCCTGGTAACCCTCTGACAGCTCTTGTTGCCCTTCAGTTAGGATCAGTCTCCTCAGCATGACCTAAAAAGGCCCTGCCTGAGCTGGTTCCCTGCCCTCTCCCATCCCCCACCCCATCAGCCAAACTGGCCTTCTTTCTAGTCCTTGAGCTCAGTCCCACCTCAGGGCCTTTGCACCAGCTGTACCCTTGGCCTAGAATGTTCTTTTCCTAGATCTTTAAATGACTGCCTCTTCTGTCACTCAGGGCTCAATTCCAGTGCTGCCTCATCAGAGAGGCCCTGACCATCCAGCACTCTCTCTCATGGAGCATCAGATCTAAGCATCACTTAGCAGAACTGAAGCTCCCTTTTCTATTTGTTTCCTTATTCCCTGCCCATCTCCATCACTAAGATGCAAGTTCGGTGACGGCAGGGGGACTGTGTCACGTTCACTGCTGTCTCCCCACAGCCTAGCACAATCTGGCAAAGAGTGAGCACTTTTAAAAAGCATTTGGTGAATGAATGACCTCGAAATTATCATCCCTGTTATATGCAGAGGCTAAGGGAAGTTGAGGAACATGTTCAGAGTAAAGAAGCTGGAAAGTGGCAGGCTGGCATTCTACTTAGAATGACACTGGACTGCCATAGGGACAGCCTCCTCTGGTACCTTCCACACTATGATCCAAGCCAGGGACCATGGGGAGTCCAAGAAGGGAGGCCAGAAGGGAGAATGTTTGGGTGCAGGAGGGCCAAGGTCTGTTCTGAGCATTTGCTATATGACAGCACTTTCTGTTGATCATCTTCTTTAACTGTCCATTATGTACACTTGTGTGCATGTGAATAAAGATCCCAGCCCATGTGCTAAAACCTGGGTGAGTTAGGGAGTCAGTGTAATAGGAATTTTGGCAAAGGGCAGTGGGACGAATGGGGGTACAGGCATTGGAGGGCACACACACACCCACACACCCTCAGACTCACACAGGCACACATGGGGGGAGCTGGGCAGCCCTCATGTGGCGGTCCCCTGGGTGCTGAGGTGCAGATAAGGAGCCTACAGGCCTGGGGCTCGGTTCGGGGCAGCTAGATCTAGACCTACAGCATTAGGCCGTGTGGTGAAAAGCATTCTACTCTCCAAGAAGCCAGGACAGGAATGGGGCGACCCAGCACTTCAGACTACAGGAGGGGGTGGGGAAGAGAGGTGCCCACATTGATGGCAGTCACACCCAGTGGCATCAGATAGCTGGGTGGCTTTGGGAAAAGAGAGGGGAATGCACGCCCACTTGGTGGAAATGGGGGTATAGGAGACAGAACTGGACTGGGCGACCCATGTTGCCGAGCACCGCCCAGGACAGGCAAAGTCTAAGAGGCTGTGGGACATCCGTGGGTGCTTGAGCCCAGGTAGGGTGCGAGGGGGTTGGAGGAAATGGTTCGGGAATGTCAGTGTAGAGGCGAATCTGAGACCATGGCTGTCCCAGGGAGCAGAGCTCAGAGCCAGGGCGCACAGGTCTTGCCTCTAACGTGCTAAGTGAGCTTGAGCGAACAAAACCCCTCTCTAGGGAATATGGGAACATGTCCCATATTCGTCAGAGATTCCTAACCCTTTCCAAGCCTTGGACCTCTTTGAGCATCTGAAAGACTGTGCATCCTACCCCAGACAGACCTTCACACATGCGTACAACCTTTTGAGTATTTTCTGAGAGATTATGGACCCCTAAAGCCCATCCATAGGCCCTGGGCATAAGTCCCAAGCTGGACAGTTCCCAAGGATCTTCCACCTCTGACACGACGCTCAGTTCCATGAGGGATACTTAGAAACAAAAAAAAAAAGCTGGAAACCTTTCATTCTTAAACTTATTTTCTGCCCCATGGGAACCCACCTTGAATGCTCCCATTCGTCCGCTAACCTCCCCAAAAATTCCTATTACACTGACTCCCTAACACACACACACAAGTGCACACACATGGATGGTTAAAGAAGATGATTGACAAAAAGGGCCGTCAGGTAGCAAGTGCTCAGACCAGACCTCAGCCGCTGTGTCCCGCCCCAGTCATGGGACCCTGGCTGGCCCACACCTGGGCACTCCACGTCTTCACACATACTCCAGGTACTGGTGGGAAACTGACAGCATGCGCAGCAAGGCACTGACCCTTTAGTGGGGCCCCTGGATCACACAGCTCACCGTGCTCCCCCCACCCTCTGCCCACCCGGACGTCTGGGGGTCAGGACTGTCATTGCTGAGCTCTAAGCATCCTCCCTAGGCACAGATCAGCCTGGGCATGTGCCTCCTCAATGTTCCAACTGCCTAGGGCAGGAAAGTGGCTCCCCACAAGGTCCTAGATGGCTACACAGGAGCCTTGGGAACTTCCCTGCATCTGTTCCCAAAGTGACCCTTACCCCTCTTAATTGGCTTGCTTTTCCCAGGTTGGACCACCTCATGCAGCAACAAGTGCCTCAGACTAGGACAGTCCAGGACAG